TGCAGGAATGCCGGGATGAACCCTTGTTCTCTGAACACTGCCTCGTTCCTCGCTGCTAGGAGAGATAGCCAGTTCTGTACTGCTGTAAGAGCAGATAATCATTGTTACTTTCTGGAGCGAGCCATGGAATAGGATTGTGTTTGTTTCACGCTCTGAACCTTTGCAGGCTTGAAGCATGAGGCTCATTAATCTGTACCTTCATCCGGAGAAGCTAGATGGTCTGTTTGGAACAGTTGCTAGAAAAGACTGGAGAAACAGGGAGAAGATCAATAAGCTCCAAGGGACACATCAAGGGGATAGGGACTTAATACTTAATGTGGACTTAATAAGTCCACAGGGCTCTGCTGTGGGGAGGAAGGAGGCAGTCTGGTCTCTGCAGCTGTTTGCTAAAGCCACCAGGAAGTCTGTCCCCCAGAAAGTCTCCTGCTGCTTGGCTCAGTTCCAGCAATAAACCCTCTTCATCTTGCTGCCTTTTCGGGCTTAAGCCAGAAGTCCTGGTGCTGTGAGGCTAAACTGGCAGTGCCTAATTCAGGGCCGCCTTGATGGTATTGTCGGACACTGGTTGATGCTGAGTGTTTTAAAAACAATCTTGCTTGAAACTTCCTGGTGCTGAGGAGTGGCTTGAGGATTCAAAGGACATGAGTCTGAATGCTGCAGAGGATGTGGGGGCTGGTAACAACAGGGTGTACGTCAGGGTTCAAAATGACCTCTCACATGCCGTAATTCCACAGGGTCAGAAAAAAGTGTCCTCAGTATGAAGAGAAAGAAGAAAGGAAAAAACTTCGACAAGAAAGCAGAAATGGCCATGTTGGTGTGTAAATGAGGAGAAGGCAGGTATGAAAGCTGACTTGAAATGCCTTTCAGTCCTTCCAGGCTGGAGTTACCATCTGATAATTGCCTGCATGTTTTGCAAAGCTAGTGTTTGCTTCTAACACTTGAAGTGCCTTGAAACACACAGGTTACATGGGAATGACTGGGTTGGTTTTCTGGTTTCCAGAAACCACCCGAGTTGTGCGAGTTCTTCAACAGCGCTGTTAGCTTTCTGGGTGCTGTCTTGAAGGAAAAGTGAGGATAGGAAGCTGTACTGTGATAAGTGGATTTATGAAGAAAAAAACCCCACCTTCATATCTGGGCAGAGGCAGGTTTAGTGCAAGAAACCATGGTAGGCTTCCATCATGGAAGACGGTGCAGCAGCCGAGTGGATCATCACCCCTCGTAAGAGAAGTGCGGAGCATTTTCATGTCTTCTCTGCAAGGCATCAGGAAGTTTCTGGTGCTTAGAGGCTGTAAGCCAAGACAAAGCTGCCAATTCTGTGAGCACCATAGCTAGCCTCTCAGTCAAGTTACATACTGTCATAGCAACTGAGTGCTAAAGCTCCTTGGCCTAGGTGAATTGCTCCTGGGAGAAATCTGGTGGATTTTAATGAGCAAGCAAGTTGGTCTCTTCTGAGCAAAAGTGTGCCTAACAGGATACTCAAGGACTGTTATTGAACAGGAGTTATACTACAAGCTGAAGGAGGAAACTATAAAGGATAGTCCTGAGAAGTTGTGGCAGAAGTTCTGCTTTGCCACATGCCATCACAGGCCCTGTCCAAGCTTGGTCCAGTGGCCATTGGAATGCTTTGCTCAAAGCTCACTTGAGGCTGAAGAGTATCTAGCAGAGTGTCCTCAGGTGTGTGCGCATACTTAACCTGCCTGCCTCCCTCAGATGTAGGTTTGACACAGTTCTAGCACGGAGTGCTTGTGTCTTGGGTGGTGATTAACGTGCCTGGTCTGCCCCTTACAGAACAATTCTGATGTGGCCACTGCCAAGCTGCAGGGTACCTCTGGCTACCTGACACACCCACCTGGACACTGTGGGGCTGGAGCTGTTGCCACTAAGCCCTGATTCATCAAGACAGAGGCTGCTGCAAGGAGATGCCAACATGCCACTTGCTGCTGAATCGCTTGCTGGGGAGGGCAGTTACCGCTACATCTTGGCACAAGGATGTGGAAGGAGCTGCCGCTATGGGGTAGAGGACCTGCTGTCAAGACCTGCTAGAGACTACTGCTGCTGAGCCCACTCTGGCAGCGCTGGAGCCCCAGTCTCTGCTGTTGTGTGGATGGACTTTCTTCTGTTAGCAAGTCTCCTTTGGCAGCTCGAACCCTGAGGGAGAGAGCTTTTTCCGGCTTTGAGGAATGGATGGAGGGGAGAAAATTTCCTTCCCTCTCCCAAAGTTAAAAAGGGAAGAGCTCTGGATGGCTTCTCTCCCTAGACCTCAGTGGATGAAAAACCTAATTCTGCTGTCGCTGTGCTCCCTGTTGATATCAGCTTCAAAGGACTTCATCTCTAGTTCTGACTTGCAGGGCATTGGTGGCAGATCTTAGTCAGCCACACTTGGGTTCTGTTACTGTATGTGTGGAAAGTAATCCCTCTGAATTCAGTAGGACTCGTTGTGTGAGTGGAGCTATCCATTTGTGTGTGTGCTAGCCTGAGTTAAAATTAGTCTCCTCAGGATGCTGAGACACTAAATGAAAGATCTGAAGGAAAAGATCCATGCTCAAACAAGCTGGTAAGCCTGGATCCATCTGTTAGAAACACAAAGATACTCCTGTTACCCAGATACGCTGTGCTGCCTTAAGCAGCACATGAAGTATAAAATGCTTCACATCAGATTCAGTCAGTTGAACTTGACCAAGAACCTGTTCCTTTGAAGAATTAAATTTATGCACTGACACTCTGCAAGCAGTGGTCTCTTGTGCTCTACCTTCTGGTGCGAAGAACTCTACTTACCTCAAACTCTTCTGACCCCAGTGTCCTTGGTTTCTTGAACTGTCCATGCAGTCTTGAGCACAGAGTATTATTTGAGTTCAGTTTCTTCTTGGAAGAGTGAATGTGTTCTGTATAAACAGAGCAGAATTCTTCTGGTAGCAGAGAAACACCATTAATTGTCAAGTCATATCTGTAAATGTGTAAATATTTATTACTGTATTTAATATTTAATGTTTCCATAACAAACTTATTTATTTTATAATTAAACTTTTTACATAACCTAATCATGGTAAGATTTTTTTCCTTGCTCTCGGGAGTACATGTAAACACTTGAAATTAGAGCTTGGTTTCACCTCAAAGCAGGAATTTCAACACTTAGGAGCACAGAGCAGGACTGTGGAGAAGTACAGCCATGTGTGAAGGATGAGCTCTGTGCTCTCACAAGAGTGCAAGTTGTTTGTAAACAGAATGTGCAAATGCAAGTACCAGTTTCAGTAGGAAGTCCATTTACTTCCAACTACAGAGAGATCTTTTAGTTACTGGCTTAGGGAGGGGCTAAATGAGCCGTCTCGTTGGAAGCAGAGTCTCAAACTGAAGTTTGAGCAAATGAGTAGCATTTTGCACTGGACTCAAGAGCTGGGAACATTGAAGAGCGGAGAGCCTTTCATCTCTGTGTGGTCAGAGAGAATTTGGACAGCAGCTTTTGAAACCTAGTCTTAAATAAAGGAGGAAAAGCAGTACAGCCTCAGGCCAGTGACTCTCTAAACAGAAAGAGAGCATTGGCCTCCACAATCTACCGTGAATTTCTTGTCCTCCCCAGGTGGTTATTAGTCCAACTGTATGTTGGTGTTCCCTCTTAGCACCTCCAGCAGTGAGTTGGGGTCTTAAGTGTGTAGAGTTGCCTTAAAAAAATGAGTGGGGGGGGCGAGTGGGGCTTTAAAGCCACAGTTAGAGAGAAAATGAACGAGAGCCTTGTTTTGAGGTTCTTTTCTCAAAAGCGTCTACAAGAGGTGGCGTTGGCTGGGGCTTAGCTAAAAGCAGAGAAAAAAAGAATGACCAGTTGCAATTAGGATGCCAGTTGTGTACCCAGTGCAGGAGCAGAGCGTAGTCCTGTCTGGAGTAGCTGAGATGCCTTGGCCTCCTGACTTAGCCAAGTAGTTCTGAGACCAGCCTGTATGGGATGTAGCTGAGGTACAGGTAAATGTATTGCAACATCTCTTGGGAAGATTGCAAGACTTCATTCCAGGGAACTTGCTTCATTACCAAAGTAAACAGCACTTCTCCAAGCAGCTTTTCCACAGACATTTGCTATTAGAGCTCTGGCAAGAAAAACTGTTTCTGTAAGTTATGCCAAGCTTTTTGCTTTGGAGTAAACAAGCTCAATCTCAGTGGTAACTGAGCCATAGCCTAGTGAGACTGGAGATGGATTGCAACTCCCATTTGAAAGCCATGAGACTCTTCTTCCAGAAACTCTTCTATCTCTAGTCTTCTTTCTGGAGTAAATATCAGGTTTTCTACTTGATAGGCTGAACCAATGCTAGCGTAGAAACTGAGCTGGTTTTTTTCTTTTTTTCTTCCCTGCCCAGCTTGAAAGCCTAATGGGAGTGAAGCTACTAGTGCAACTTGTAAATTCCATCTGTTGTGTATTTTTCACACTCTGATTACTGAGTGGACTGGAGGGTATTTTCCAAAAATAGGCAGTTGGGAACTGGAGAGGGCCAACTGAGCTGTTTCTGGAAGGTTGGACTCTTGAACATTTGAGTGTCAGTTGGCATTGTCCTGGCTTGGACTTGAACTTGTATCAATAATCAGGAAGGAAAATCATTGCTGAGTCTCCTGAGCTGAAAGCTTGGAAACAGTGGAGGACAGGCTTCGTAGAAGACTTGTTCCTCTGAAAGGATTTAGGTTACAGACAGATTTTCTGAGGTAGGCCAGCCAGCAACTCCCTCGTAGAGAAGACTTTTGCTATGGGGTCAGTCACATCCAGTGTTCTTATAGTGCTTGCTAGCAAGCAGTAATTTTTTTTTCTGTGTGAGCTATGGCCCTGACTAATAACAGCTTGCTACCAGCTTCCTAATGTAAATTTGATACACAAGCGCCATCAAGGCCTACAGTGTCCACTGGGTTGGTTGCTTGAAAGACAAAAAACACAACTGATGGGTGGAACCGTATGTCTGGAAGTCTCTCGCTGTCCAAGGATGCTACACTTGCGTGACAAGCAAATCTGATCTGCTGCAGGGCAAGGCCAAAGATAATTTTTATTGTTTATCCTGGACAGCCAGGTCTGCTCTTCGGGATAGATACATCATGTGGCTTTTAACCTGTTCCCCTCACCATGGAGTTACCTTAGTTCCACTAAGCATGCCTGGGTTTCCGGTCCCACGTTGTATTCGTAAGTTATGCCTCCAGATTTTTCCTGACCTTCCAGTGGCAATGTTACTTTGACAGGAGAGCTCCTGTGTCCTTGTCGCTTGTAGCTGCCTCAGCTGAGACCTGGAAGAGTAGCCTGCTCTTCTTGCACAATTTTCTGCACACATGGCTGGTTTTGCAAGGTATTTTTGATATCCAGATCAGTATCCAGGAATTTGGTAATGTGAGGGTCATGTCTGCTTGCACAATTCCTTCCTCTTTCCCGAATGTTTTGTTCTCCATCATTATTGCATTTTGTAGAAAAAAACTGTAGCTCCTCATGGTCTTCTTCTCTACTGTGTGTTTATGGAACTTTTGAGTGCTTTGCAGTTGTCTATGACCAGCGTAGCTTCCTGTCTACTTCTGGACTTCGCTTCCCTCCTCCCCTCTCCCGCCCTCCTCCCAGTATGCTCCTTTTCCCTCAGAGTAGTAGCAGATGTTACTTTGAATCGTGGCTTGCTGGATATTATAGGAAGGCCAGTTCTACTCTGTGGCAATGAAAAGGTACAAGTTTTAAGATGTTCACTTTTCCTCGGTAAATCCAGATATACACGGACGCCTATGAAGGCGTTTGTACTGGCAGTGGCTGCAAGTAGATGTTGTGCAGTGATTTGTCTAAATCCACCTTTGGGTTGTTCCATGCCATTTCCAGTAACCGGTGTAAAGTTTTGAGTTCTTAAAATAACTTCGGACATGTTTTTATATCGATATACTTACCTAGACTGTTAGCGCTACAAATACTTTAGTACCTGAGCAAACATATCTGAAAGCAAAGTTGTTAACTGGGACACATTCTTGCCTCTCTTTGAAGAGGTTTTCTCGATGCACTAATGGTATGTCTCGCTTCAGTGAACAATCCTGCAATCACTTGGCTCTTGAGGCGTTATCTTTGATAGGAAGCAATGGTGTCGCGTTCTTGGTGACAGCTGAATGCAGCGAGTGAGCGTGCTCGAGGAGCAAGGGCCGGTTGTCAGTGTTGGTGATTGAGTCCATTCACATGAGATAGATCAGTGGACAGAAGGGTCAGACAGCCTTTAAGAAGCAGACCTTGATTCCTTCTCATTTTGTGAACAAAGCTGTACATACCTATCGTTCCTCTGCTGGTTACACCTTCCTTGAGCGAGTAATCCTCACTTACTGCAGGTCTGGCTTTGCCTATGACTCGTGAGTTTGCTCGATTGAGACAGCTACGCCTGTGAATGTCAGAGGGAAACAGCTATTGTTTGCTTACTGTGGGTCTAGGCCCAAAGCCAAGGAAGCAGGATTTGTGCCTTTTTCAACCAAAGGAGACACATGAGGTGGGACATCTTAAGTCCAGGGTAAAGAAATGCTTTCCAAAGGCATTTTCCTAGTAAGGGGAGTAGCAACTTTTCTAGAGAAAAACCGAATTTTCATTCGTACACTTTTTGTGTCAGAAATACATATCTTTTTGCGTGTAATTCAGAAAAAAAGACACTTTTCAGCTCAATATTTTTTGACTGAAATAATGCAGCCTGTTCTCTGCATTTTGGGACAAAAAGCAAAGCTAAATAGTCTGAGAGTCTGATCTAATCCAGCATTTTGAATGTGTCTTAACCTAGATGTCATACCCTCATTCCGACGCCATGCACGCTAAGCTAAGTCAGATAACACCATCATGACTTCTAACTGCCTTTGGTTTCTTGCCTACTGATGCTTCGGTCCAGACCTTGGAAAACTGCTTCCTTCTTTGAGTGTGATTTTCCTTACACAGCTGGCAATGAATTTGTATTTGGGTATCGGACAGCAGTCACTTACAGACTGAATCAGTTCATGGGTGGTGCTTGGAACCGGCTAGTTTTCCGGAAGATAAGGAAGTACGTGTTTTAGCATCAGTTATGTACTTTTTGCTTAGGAAAGGAAATCTCTTCAGCACTGCATATAGCTAGTTAGAAAACAGTGGAAACAAAAA